CAAACTGTGCCTAGACATTCCTCTTCCACATATAATGGCTAAAATGAATTTCCCTCATCTTCCCCGCCTCCCCCGCCCCTTGTTGCTTTAATGGGGTTATTTTCTGAGGTTTATACTCTCCTAGGACCTAGAACAATGCTTTGATCATTCCTTTGTCTTAATAAATATTTACTCAAAGAATCAGTCCTTCATTTCTACATATAATTTGAGTATCACCGAACACCAGGAAAAATTTAAACTGCTGAAGATTTGTAAAGGCCCTTGATGCTATCACAACAGATTCAACAAATGCTGAAGATCTTTATTTAACCTCTGCCTTTATGTGAACAATACAAACAAAAATTTCAGAGTGAACTGAGTACATAATGAACATGGTAAATGTGAAAAAAATCTAGGCAATTTGCTTCTCATATATCATTTTCCTTGAATTATCTGAATAATTATCTCAGCCCTCCTCATTTTCTCTTCCTCTCACATGAATGTAGAAAAAATTCACTTCCCCCCTTCTAATTATTATAGTTGTTGGCTGAAGTGAGCCATTTTCAAAAAGTCTTCTGAGAATTGACAAAATGCTTTAAGACCTCTAAAACAAATTTAATGTGTATTCTGTATTACAGGATTTAAGATGCTGTGTTTTAGAAGGCCTATATGGGCAGCTAGGTGGCACAGGGGTACACACAAGGCCTGGAGTTAGAAAGACTCAGCTTCCTGAGTTCAAATCTGGCCTCAAACACCAACTATCTGTGTGACCCTGGGCAACTGACTTAACCCTTTTTGCCTCAGTTCTTCATGAACTGGAGAAGGAAATGGCAAACCACTCCAGTATATTTGCCATGAAAACCCCAAATGGGGTCATGAAGAGCTGGACACAACTGAACAACATCAACATGAGCATAATAAAATTATTTCAGAGTAGACATGAAGAAACAAAAAAAGAGGAAAATTAAGTTTAGCTCGTATTTTACCTGTATAAAACTTACAACAAATGTAGTTCTTTATGCAAAATTAACAACCTCTTGAACCACCTCCCTTCATAATGTTATAAATAGAAATATATTTATGTGAGGCTCAGAAGAATTCTTGTTTTACTTTTTTAAAAGATGAAAAAGTCAATTTTTAAAAAAAAGACAAATGAATACTTTCATATTCTACTATCAGTGAACCAGAAAATGAGATGGTGAATATTTACTATTCATTTTGCACATAATTTATATGGAATGAAGATTGGGAATACTAGAATATCTAATAAGTAAGCATTCATTTTGGAAGCCTATAAATTACTGACCTGACATTTATCTTTGATTTCATACTTTTAACTAGAGACTTGAACATACTGTCAAAAAGAGAAAGGTATTCTTTTAGAAAAATGTTACAGCTGAGATTCAAATAAACTACCATTATATGACTAGATGATTTTATAATTTTAACTGTCACCTGTCACGTGAAGATGAGAGACAGTACCAATAATTCACTACACTTTTACAATTTATATATAACTTTAAATTATTGTGTTAAAAGTGGACAGAGCAGACATCTGAAGTAAGTGGAAGATTAGAAGGTATAAAATAACTGTTCCATTGATGTTGAGCAATGGGGGAAGGAGACTGGGATGTAAATTTCCAAAACACTTATCTATATAACTCATAGCCATCAGAAAATTAAATCCACTCTCCATTTCCACTTGACTTGCATATTGTTTAAAAAGAATATATGAATAAAGTATAGGAGCCTTCTCATCCTGGAAGATTCCTTCACCTTTTATTTGTTAGTTGCCGTAGGAACCTCCATTTCAAGGAAAGGCCCAGACAAGTACTTTTCACTGTTTCCTTTTGTCACTAGGCTCCACTCTGGGCCCTCTGAACTTCTTTCTCCACTGTGATTCACTGAGGCTACCCTTCCTCCCCTACCACCATCTTTTCACCTTCTTTTAACATATGGTCTTCCCCCACTAGAAGGTAAGTTCCCTGAAGGCAAGGCAAGTCCATCTTTTTGCTTGCATTTAAATTCCTAGCAAGTAGTCTAGTATTTGGCTCAGACGAAGCACTTAATAAAGTCATGTATAGGCCTTAAGCCATGAGAGAGATAATTAACATTGAATGCAAAGTCAGAAGCTATTAAGTAGTCACATGGCAAGTAAGCTGTCCCAGTACCATGACACTGCCCAACTCCGTCTGCAAAGGAATCCTAACCAACAGGTGTTGAGTATAGTTTTACGGTTTCTGCAAGGAAGACTGGGCTCCTTAGGACAGCAGTATAACAGAATGAGCACTGTATCTGAAATCAGGGGACTTTTATTCACACATTGCCTGAGTTACATACTATTTGTGTAAACTTGATAAAGCACCGAATTTCTCGATAAAAGGAGGGGAACTGGCACTACACAACTTCTGAGAGATCCCCTCTGATTCTAAATTTTTGGTTCAATGACCAATCTGTTTATTCATATTTGAGGACACTTCCTAGAGAGAATGATTATTGAAGCAATGGCACTGCTTTCAGGATCAATTTGGGACAAACAGTTCCAACCTAGAAACCTCAGGACAAATATCTTCATGGGAAGGAGACTTTTAATTTGATATAAATTCCATGAAGCAGAAAATGAAGGGCCTATGTACCCAAAGGGCTATTATAAATACCTAAATTAACTACAAAGGACATATGAAGAAAGTGCTATCTACATCCAGTGAAAGAAGAACTGATAAACAGATATACAGAATTATTTTACACACACATATTCCTATTTGTCTATTTGTCTCTCTCTCTCTCCACACAAACACACACACATATATAAATATATGTAGACACAAATAGGGAGTGCGTGTAAATATATATACACATACACATGCATATAAACACACACATACACCTATTTGTGTCTAATATTAACCATCTCTCAGGCCAGAGGAGGGAAGAAAAAAAATTACATGATAATTATGTTATATATTTGAAAGGAATAGTGAGTTGTATATAGTAGATTCGAAGTTTCATGTACAATCATCTTTTTTTATTGTATTATGTTATGGAAATGCTTTTTTTATTCCATAAGTTAAAACATAAAATAAAAATATTTCTCTTAAGGTATAATAATAATGATAATAATAAGTATAATTTTTTATAGCACTTAGCACAGTGCCTGGAAAATAATAGACATCATTTAAATACTTATTCCTCTCCTTTCCCTTCAAGATTAACAACAGCAACAGAGAACTAGCTGTTAGAACAGAATGTGGCTAATTAAATCTCTGGAGCAAAGTAGAGTAGGGTGGAGAGTACAGTATTACACATATATTATTTCCCCCATTTTACAGATTAAGGAATGAATGCTCTGTAAAATTTAAATGTCTTTTCTGAGTTCAGTGACAGCAATGCTCTTTCTACAAAACTCTGGTGCCTCTCATTTTATTTAGCTTGTAATAGAAGGATCCTTTCCTTTTGTGTGTCTTCCTCATTTGGTTCACAAGCAAAAGATTATGAATAAGTTTCTTCCAATTTTTTGAAATGCTTTAAAAATGATGTGGGGGATTAAACAAATACAGTAAGCAAATCATGTTAACTTCAGACTTTTAAAGAAAGTAAGTTGTCTTATCTGCTTGGTTTTTTGAGGGAGGTGGCATATGTGTTCATATGTATGTGTGTGTATATGTATGTGTGTATATATGCATGTATGTATATATGCACACACATGTGTGTATGTATGTGTGTGTGTATGTGTGTGTATGTGTATGTAAAAATTCATGTGACAGTAAGATCTATTACAAATAACATTTTCTTTTCTTGTAGCCCTAACCAATTACAATCCCAAATCAGGGTCCCAGAATCACAAAATCCCAGAATACAGGGGTTGGAAGAGACTTGAGCAGCCAACTATTTCAACCCATACCTGGAAGAAATCTCTACTAATACATTTCTAAGTGATCATTCTTATGATTATAACTTATTCCTTCCAGTCTTTGGAAGATTGCCTAGGAGAGGAAACCTACTGCCTATCAAAGTAGCCCATTATACTTTTACACAGCTCTAATTGTTAGAATCTTTCTGATCTTAAGCCTAAATTTTTTTCCTTATAATTTTTACCCATTTCTCCAAAGTCCTATAGATTTTCTAATTAAGATGTACCAAAAATGAGCAATATGAGTCTTTGGCAAGATGTCAAACTTACCCTCTGAAAAGGGAAAATTGATTCAAAATAATGGCTATTTAGGGTATAGTACTTGTTTCTGTAACCAAAAATAGGAGTGGTACTCTTGTTAGTATCCTACAATTCATGTACTCACTTCTGTTTCTTTCTATTGCCTTCCAATTTTCTCTTGTCTTCATATGCCTCCTCTTCTTCCTTGTCCTCTCTACTTTTTCCCTCTCTGGCCCACCAGTAGCAATCCATGGGTATTTTGCTTAGTTCTCCTAGTGATACTTAGGAATAAAAAGGATGCTGTCTTCTTGGCCAATCCATAGGAAAGGATAATTGCCTTGGCATAGTCCTTCCAAGCTTTATACTGACCTCCAAGTTTGGGAAAGTGTATAATTAGGAACGCTAATGCCAATTTTGTAGGTTTATTTTCAAGTGAATATCACAACTGAGTTGTTGGCCAGCATGCGTAGATTCAAAGCAGAAGGGTGGGGGAAGTGTTTAAAGGATCAACACATTTACATGGGGAATGAACACAAAAAGTATAATGTCACTAGCTTTCTCGGTCTATTTTACTTAATGATTCCATTCCAATTTCCATCAATCAGGTAGACTTACTATTTCAGCCAGGAATGGAATTAAAACTTGGAAGGAAAAGAGGAAAAACCCGAACTGAAAATTATTAATGCTGTCATTTTTTTTTCTACTACAAAGCTTTTCCTGTAATTTAATCCTCTTCTGGATTAATTTAAGTCCTTGTCTTCATAATAGAAAACACAGTCTTTTTCCAACAAATGCTACACTTTTTCTATTTAAATTACCGTTAGTAAAATTTGGGAGTGTATTCAAAGCAAATGGGCAGATATTTACTTACCCCCAGTTGCCACAGTGATTTCACGTAGAAAATGGCCATAAAATGGAAAATCGAAGGACAGATTCACTCTCTGCAAGGAACAACACCAGAAAAAAAAATCAATAATCTACAGAATAGCAAACATAAAATGAAAAGCTTTTAAAAATGTGATGTTCCAAAAGAGTTGAGAAAATGGACCTCTATATTCCGTGTGGAGGTAGGAAGACAAGGATGCAGGATATTTGTTGTTGGACATGAATGATGTGATGGTTGGTTCTATTGAACTTTCCTCCTCTTTTGTTTTTCATTCTTTGTTATAGGGGATGATTAGAAGATAGAGGAGAGGAGAGGAAAAGATTTGGAAATGAAGGTAATACAATTTTATAAAAGGTATATTAATAAAAATGTGCTCTAGTTTTCTTCCTTTAAATAATACCCTCCTTCCTTGGAATAAAGTAAAATAGTCCTTGCTGAAGAAAAAAATGGACTTAGTGGCTTATGATTCTCACAGATAGGCATAGCAATCACCAAGTTTCAAGTCATGTTTGTTACCAGTATTCCCATTGTTTTGCAGACATCAGCTTATATATCCATAGGCAGGTCCATCAGTTATTTGGTCAAGGATAATGAGGGAGAAAAGTAAGTATGAGTAAATTGAATGTTTGATAAAATTTGTTTGAGTCATTGGATGATTTTTATTTTTTTTTCTAGATTCCACTACCGACACAGTTAAACTGGGTTGTATAGATATTTACTTAAAGGCACATTAGGGCTTAGAGTATCTTATATTCTTTCTCTGTACCTTGTGATAAAAAGCAGGCATTTGTCAAGCAATCTCAAAGGATAGGGAAAGTAGAAACAGACCATTTGTAGACCTGTGTGTGAATAGTATAGATCTTTTTTTTCTTCTTCTTCTTCTAAATATATGACTACCCCACTTCTTGCTATCTTTGTAATACAAATGTGTTTCCAGTTTGGCAAAGTGACTGTGATAGAAGACTATCCTTTCTAAGAACTTAAACTGAGAATCACTTAAGGTCAACAGAGAAGCATAAGGCAAGTATGAACAGGCTTCAATGCACTACAAACAATTAGCAAGAAGAAATTACGTAAAGAATATTAAAATATATATGAACAAAAGAAGAAGATGAATTAGTCACAAGGCAAAGATGAAGGCTAAGTGATGGGCAGCTTATGGTAAGCAGGTATCCTCATAATGTCATGGGGAAATACCCCTAGCACGTTGTGCATTCCCGCTCCTCAACTCTGACCAGGGAGACTTTGTGGGAGGATTTTTGATGAGAGTCACAAAGACTGCTATAATATCAGTCTGAATTATTGAAAGAGTTACCCATCTCCATGAGTTCTTGATCCACTTGAATTGAGTATGGCAACCCTGGTGACACCTCTGAAGAAGAGGTTTTTATCAGGTACATTTTAAAGAAGGTTCTCTGCCAGAGTGATGCAGTTCATAACAATTCAAGCCACCAAACATTCACCAAAATAGTCACCATTTGCAAAACATAGTCCTTATAAAGTGATGCTGCCCAAGTAAGTGAAAATGTGGAAGGCTAAAATCTTACTTTCTTCTGTATCTTGAAAGAATTACTAAAATAAAGATCTTTTTCCCCAAAGGAAAGACAGAGCCCTATGGATATCTATATTTACATTATCTAGTTTGTAAAATCTAGTTAAATTAGTTGAATTTTAAAAGAAGTGGCCTAGAAAAAATCCAGGGTATCTCTTGCTATTAATGGAGAAAGAAAGTGAGTTGTAACAAGGGTCTCATGTTGAATAACATGTGACTTTTTAAGCAGAAGGCTTCACAGGATGTATGTGGCAACCTGCCTACCAAAAACAATAGCTAGTATGTGAAAACCAAATGGTTACTAAAGCACTCTGTCTCTGTCTCTCTCTCTGTCTCTGTCTGTCTGTCTGTCTCTCTCTCTCTCTCTCTCTCTCTCTCTCTCTCTCTCTCTCTGTGTGTGTGTGTGTGTGTGTGTGTGTGCGTGCGCACATGTGTATGTGTATGTAATAATAAAATACTAAAAGGACAGGCTTTTAGACTGAATCTAGCCTTTTTAGTATTCAATCAATGATTGGATTCTATAACCATTCAAGTGTTTTTAATGACTTCTTTGGCACGAAATTGATCATTCATGAATTACAGCAACTTTCAATTAGGTTTTCTTTCCTGTTTAATGAAAGCTCCACTTTATACAATGATTTATCATCCCTTTTTCAGCTTTCTAATGAAACAAAAAAAATCATTTTCCACTGTGTTCACTAAAAAGAAAGGATGTTAAAAAAAACTTAGTAAAAATGAGTTGTACATCTGAGTCAGCTAGGTGAAAGGGAAAGAATGCTGTCCCAGAATCAGGATGACCTGAAGTCGTCAAGACATACAGTAGTTATATAACTCTGGGCAACTCATTTAATGTGCATCAGCCTCAGTTCCATCATTTGTAAAATGGAGACAATAACTGTACATACCTTCTACAGTTGCTATGAGAATCATATGATATAACTTGTGTAGACTGTGTTGCAAACCTTAAACAATGTACAGATGCTGGATATTGTTATTGGGGCAAAATGTGCATATAGGAGAAAATGAGTTAAATAATTTTATAAAAGCACTAGATACAGTATAAAGACATTAGATACTAGGTTCTTAAAAGCTGTGCAAAATAATTCCACACACTAGCATCTTTACCAAGCTGGAAAGAAATTAATGCCCAGCAAAAAAATGTGTTAATTATTCAAAGAAACACTGCTACCTCATCAAGAAGATCCTCTTCTTAAAAGAGTTGGCCATAAGATATTTGTGTGCCTTTTGTCTTTCCACCAAGGTAACACGTAAAATTGAACAAATATAAAATAGCCCTTACTAATCTGTGCCTAACTTTTGCTTCTACAGATGATGATGCACTAGCAGAAAAGAACAAGAGATGCAAAGATTTATATTATTTCAGTCAATCTGTTTAAAATACTTATTTATTTGGTATTCTGCAGATGTCAACTTTTTTCCAAAGACCAACAAAGGAATTACAATGAAATGGATCAAGTCACTGGATGTGGAATAGAGTTCTGAATTTGTTCTCTAGGAGGTAAGACAAAAGAGAAATGGGGCACCATGGTCAAAGAAGGAGCTACAAAAGGTAAAGAACCCAAGTCCCACAATAGTAGCCCCCATGTTATAATAATAACTAGAAGACCACCCAACATATTGGAGAAATACCCCCATGTGGGAATTTATGGAAAGCCATGTACAATAATCATTCAAGGATGAAAGCCTAGGGGAAGGAAACTTCAATGTTGTTCCTACGGAAATCATAGCTCCATCAGAGTATAAGAAATTTGTTCCTGAATGCTAAGTTTATAACAGTACAATTCCATATATGGTAAACAGTGACAAGAAAGATTACAAGGATGTCTTTGTTAGAATCATACAAGTGTCAGAACTGGAAGAGTACTTGTATACCATAATTTTTAAAATAATTTTACAGATGAAACATCTAAAGCTCAGAATGGTTAAAGGTTGCCAAAGTTCATCAGTTTCTGAGCCTAGTCCTCCAATATTCATAAATTTAGATTGATAAGTTGCCATGTTTGCTATATATTGATTGCTAATTTTCAAGTAAAACTTTTGATGCCAAAGTTAAATGGAATATAATTGTATCTTTAAGATGCTGCTTTATCAACACTTTCTATATAAATTCTTTCCTGATTATCCTAACCACTTATACCCTTCCTCAAATTACCTTCCTGTTAATCCAATGATTAATTGTGTTTCTGTTTATTTATTCTTTCTGTTTTGTTTTTTATATACTGATATACATACATACACATACAAACATATGTATTTCTATTTTAGTTATTGTACTTTGGATACATTATGGCCAGCATGCAGAGGAAAAAGTGGGATGCCCATTACAATGATTTTCCAGGATTCTGGGGCGGGGGGACAGACTCTTAGTAAGTTTAATGGTATCTCTTAAAGGTCACCTTACAGTGTTTATGATAATAGTGACTATATAATTATGAAATTTTATAGCAAAATAATTTTAGTGGGACAGATGACATATATATATGTATGTATGTGTATAAGTATATGCATACACACACATATATATATATACATATATATGTGTATATATGTATGTATGTATGTATGTATGTATATACTTGTCATCTGTCCCATTAAAATTCTGGCAAGTAGTGACTTTCATTCAATGAATTTGAATGGTACATAGTAGGTGCTTAACAGAGTTTTGATTAACTGATCTTAAATGATTATTCAGTGGTACTTCATTGTCTTGTACATCCGCGTCATTAGTAATAGCTAGAATTTTTTCTAATAGCTATCTCAATCAGTGTGAGCATAGTTATAATGTAAGTGTTAGAGGAATCAGTTGTTACTGTTTTATTTCACAGATTGGTTAGTGAACTATTTGAGGGGAGGGGTTTCCTACTTCCATTTTCCTGTGTTAGTAATTGTACTTTAGATACTTTATGGCCAGCGTGTATTGAAGAAATCAAGTTGCTCATTACAATGATTTCCCCGAGATTCTGGACAGGGGCTCTTAGTCAATAAATGGAATGGCAACTCTTAAAGGTAAACTTATGATGTCTCTGACAAAGGGACTGTATCACCATAAAATTTTACAGCAAAACAATCTCCAAAATGCAATTTTGCTACACACTGGTCCACCTGACTACCACCACAGACACTTGAGTAAATTCCATGAACAAACCAATAGCAATCTGTCTTCTACCTTACACATCAGATAATTAGATTAAAAAACCCCAAAACTTTTTTCTCCTCAAGATGAAACTCACTTAAACAAAAAATAACCTACTTGACAAAAGACATTTTTCCAAAGGAATCATATGAATAAGTCACTGGAATTGAGAAAATATGTAGATACATAAAGAGAAACTAGTAGATGCAATTTTCTGAGTTTTTCAGAAATCTTTTGCTAAGTTTGTATACCAAAGGATTTTAAAAGAAAAAAAAATGAATCATCCCAGGATTTAGGTTTATTAGTAAATTGTTCTTAAAGCTAGGATACCCAACCTTTAATGTTGATG